AGTCATAGCACAGAATAGTTGCAATTTTTAGTGGGGGTGTAAGTACACAAACTCATGGTAGCCCATTAAGACTTTTTTTTGAGAGAAAGAATATTCATAAAAACCATTTTAAAGAATATTATAGCTTTAATCCTAGAATGCACTGAGCTCCCACAAAATCAAGTTTACTGAATCAAAGTTTGGGGACATGCTCCCGTAACATGTTACTAAATAGACCCTAAGACCCATTTTATTATGGTGGTTCCTTTTGAGAACTCTTCATTAACTTATGTTGTTTGCTTCTTACTAGGGAGGACAGTTCTCTATTTAGGATTAGGAGTAGTCAAGTTTCTTTTGGGTTTTCAGCTTGGGAGATACTATCACATAGTGTTAGGAATGCAGGCTCTCAAGATGAGATGCCTGAGTTCAAATCTCTGCTCCGCTGTCTTCCAGCTGTAAGACCTGCGTGAGCTATATAACCAGCCCTCTGGGCTCCAGTTTCTATATCTGTGAAACAAGGATCATAGTATCTATCTTATAGGTTTGGTATGAGGATTAAAGGAACCCTCAATAAGTGAGCCCTTATCACATTTAGTCCCCATTATTAGTTTTTTTTTTTTTAAGATTTTATTTATTTGACAGAGACACAGCGAGAAAGGGAACACAAGTGGGGGTTGGGGGGAGAGGGAGAAGCAGGCTTCCCACCGAGCAGGGAGCCCGATGCGGGGCTCAATCCCAGGACCCTGGGATCATGACCTGAGCTGAAGGCAGACACTCAACAACTGAGCCACCCAGGTGCCCCAGCCCCCATTATTAGTTTTGGTACTAATATCATAGTCTCATAGATACTGAGAACTGTGTAATCAGTGATATCTTTCTCTTTGTACTGGCTACCCCAGAGCTTAAAGTGAACTTTGTGGCTAACTTCCGGTAAATGAGGCTAGTGACATATTACTTGGCAGTGATGGTGGAGTTCTAGGCCTATTCCTAGTATAATCTTCTATTCCTTTTTTCCTTTGCTATACTTCCCTTGCTTTTGAACTTTTACTTTCCTTTGATTTTGTTAATTTAGCGTTCATGTCATGGTGTTGCGCTGCATGTCCTGGGAGCAAGCCACGAAGTCATCAGTCTTGTACAGAAATCATCATTGTTGTCAGTTACCTGAGTATTTGACATCCATGGACACACTTCCTTTTGCACAATACCTCACTCTTCAACCAGCACATGTTGTGTGGTGTATTCAAATTTGCTGAGGAAAAGTCTTTCCCAGTGTCTGATGAGGGCACATGCACATGTGTGTTAGTGTGTACGTGTGTGTGTGTGTGTGTGTGTGTGGGAGAGGGAGGGGGAGCTAGAGGGGCGGCAGGAGGGAGAAAAAGAATGTGGATGATGAAGACAGACCATCCCACCTGGCTTGCATCACCTTTCCTCCATCTTGTGCATGACTTTTGGTTTAGTACTGATTCCTCTCCACAGAAGAGAAATCATTTAATTTGATTTGATGGAGGAATATAGTCCAGTCATGAGCTTTTGGGCAGCAGTCCAAGTAAGACAACTCGGGAGAAACCTTGGCCAAGTGTATTGCTGACCACATCCCCGTATGTTGCTGTACAAAAGCTGTGTTATTCTGAAAATCAAGGAGGCTTATTTTTGGAAATGCTTCATTTTACTGCGTTTTAGGGGACTTGGCTTCCTTGTCACATTCTTCATTGGTCCCAGAGCATTTACTTAAGAAACCTCGCAGCCCTCTGTTCTTTGCTCCTACAGTTGCTCCGTAGAGGAGCCCACAGGAGTGTGTCTGCCTCAGTGCTCACGGCTCTTCACCTTCTTGTGACACACACTTTTAAATTTTCTAATTACATAGTCCAACTGTTTGTAACGAAATGAACCCATGAGGGTAATTGTCGTAAGAAGGATTTAAGAACGAATAATAACTGATACTGGTTGAACATGGCTGACACCGTCATACGCTAACTTTATATTTATCTAACTGAATCGTCAGAAACACTATGTGAGGTATGTTTTATCTCCATTTTATAGCTGGAGAAACCAGGATTCAGAGAGCCAAAGCTGTTTGTCTACAGTCACAAAGCTAGCAGTGGCAGAATGGGGATGTGCCAAATGTTGGACCCTGTTCACTTCGCTACTGCACAAAGCTGCCTTGCAAACCAAAGTTTAATTTTTTCTCTTTAATTGGTTATTTTAATTGAGATGTAAACATGTTAATTTCATCTCATTTTAGCTCAGTAAACCACCTTTGCTATTTTTAGGGTCTCACATCTGTTGGATGAAGGCCAGTGATGGCTTTGAAAATTCGTGTGCAGGGGGATATATGTTTGGGCGATGGGAAATTCATAGTCTCTCCCATTTTCCAGTGGTTTGATAATCATACATGGGTCCAGAAAGAACCATATCATACGTTTTATGTTTCCTTTCGAGTGGTAAAAACAGCTTTATATAATGGGAAATTGTATCCTTATACCAGTGTTGTGTTAGCCTTTGGGGTTTCCTGTCAGCCATGCATGCCTTTGCATTTATGTTTGGTTATATCTTCAGGGCCAGTGGTTGTTTTGTAAACCAGATCTCTAACCAGCATTGAGTTGTGCGGTGGTCGCCTATAGCTATTTTTCACTGTTTAGGATTGCACTGCAGGACTTTCATCAAAGTGCTCTCTATGTTTCCATTGAGGGGGGCCCTTTTCTGTCAAAATTCATGGTGGTTTCTTTCTGTCTGAATATTAGTGCTACTGCTCTTTGAGCCTGTCTTCCAGTATTGAAGGTATTTTCTACATCAGAATTAGGGTTTGCAACCAAGGGAAAATAGTTCCTATAGATGTTTGCATAGTCTTCTAACATTTCTCACCCCAAATTAGAATGTTGTTAGTATTATGTGCTTTGAAACAAATCCACTTTGTTTCTGAACTTGTTAAAGCTGAGTAGGAGGGAAGTATAAATTATCAGTTGTGGTCAAGGTGAAATACTGAGTTAGTGCTGTATCTTTGTAATGAGTTTCTGTTCTCAGTAGAATGTTTAATTGACCAGTTCTGTTAAAGTGTCACAGAAGACTGTGTCCAGGGTCACTAATTTCACTATCAGGCCTGGAGCTAACAACCTAGCTCTAGACAGAGCTAGAAAGCTGGGAGAGACCTTCTGAAATGATCTGAGTTCCCTTAACTCTGCCCTGTTTGACATTTTTTTATCAGCAATTTGGAGGCAGATATAGAATGTATGCTTATCAAATTGGCAGATAACCCAAGTCTAGGTAGGATAACTAACACCTGAATGATAAAAACAGGATTACGAAAGCTCTCAGCAGGCTGGAGTAATGCATGGAAAACAATGAGATGGGGTTTAGTAAGGATCCATGTACAGCCCTCGGTTCAAATTCAGAAAGTCACTTCCCTTATTACAAGAGAGGGGAAACGGCCCAATGGCAGTGGTCTGAAAAAGACGTATGGGACGTCAGGCTCACAGAAGCTCGGAATGGACCACCAGTCTCCCATGAAAGAGCATGAGGTCCAGAGAAGTCGCCAGTTGAATTCTGGCTCCAGCCATTGTCACGGGGGATATCCAGAGAACACCCACCAGGGCAGTGAAAATCATAAAACCTTCCAGTAGGAGGAATTGGGAGCAGCAAAACATGTTTTTCCTGGAAAACAGAAGACTTAGACCATGACAGCTCTTTTAAATAATCAGCTTTCCTGTGTGAGAGCTGAGATTTTTTTGTACTGTTTCTTCATAGGGTAGAGCTAAGATAAATGAGTATACATTTGAAGAAGCAGAGTTTGGGCCTTTTTAAAGGGGGAATTGTCTACTAGGTAGGGATGCATTTCTAAATTTTCTGAATGCCTCACCTGTTCAAAGCTGTCTAGCTGTCTAGAAGGTTGTAGAGTTTATGTAAGCATTTGGATGGAAGTTGGCCCAGGTGACCTCTAACATCTGTCTTTACCTCTGAGTTTGAACAATTGCTATTTTATTTTTCTTCTTGCTGCCAGGGCATACACTGCAGACATAGTGCAATAATATTCTTATTTTTGTATTTTCTTGACCAGAACCCTTAATTCTCATCATTGGAAAGTATTTATAATTAATAGTTTTAATTAATATAAGTAATAGCATTATATAATGGATATCAGAATTTTCATAATATGATCAACATAATCACTCCCTTTCACAATGTGAAACGCTGGTGAAAAGATGTGATACTATAATAATTCAAAGTAACTGGAGACATTTAAGAGGATGTGGGTGGGACTTAAAGTCATCAATGTGCCCCAGGATGCTGAAACAGCTGAATTGCTTTGTAAAACTGCATCTTCTTTTATTCTTTGTTTCTTTAAGTAGCTTCATTTCTAGCACCAAAATTAAGCAGATGTTTACCACATGTTTAGTTTTGAATTTATTCTTGCCTTTAAAAATTGTGTGGACTATAAGCAAATTTATAATCTCTTTTAATGTTAAGACCTCAAATCTCCAAAGTATTAAAGTGAAACCTGTTTTTATCTTAGATTTAGAATAATTCTTTGAAAAAATATTTTGCAAGCTACGTTCATGGTCTCTACTACATTTTTCCCCCTGACATTGTGCCAGTGTTATGGTGAAAGCGTTTCTCTCTTAAAACATTAAGAGAGAACATTATTATGTTTTTCTATTGAAAACATGTTGAGTACCTAGGGCAAGCCTATTAAAGTTTTGAACACAAGATCAGTGATTCCAGATTCCTGCAAATCTGCAAATAAGAATTATAAATTTGCTTAGGTCTACTTTCATTTGGATTATACACACATTGGATTCTTTGGAGGAACAGTATAGTATAGCAGTATGCAAGGCATGGTTAAGACTCAGGTTGGTTAGCACTTAGCATTTAGGGTACGATAGGGTCAAGATCCATAGTACCTGGACACAAAGGTCAAATCAAATTTAGTGTGGTATTGAGTAGGTTTACAGTTACCTGTAATCATGATAGCTTATTCCAGAGGTCTAGTCATTGCTTACATTACTTTTCATTCTTTTACATTTTAGGTGGTTGCCTTTTTGATGAGCCATATAGCACCTGTGGATATAGTCAAGCTGAAGATGATGATTTCAACTGGGAGCAGGTGAACACCTTGACCAAACCAACTTCTGATCCATGGATGCCATCAGGTTTGCATGTAGTTTTAAATTTTCTTTTTAAAATCAAGGTTTCATAAGAGTCTGAATCACAGTAAATATTCACTGGGCATTGGCTGAATGAGTGAGGGTGTTGGTCTTTGAGAGTGGCAGCCCAAAGTGATTAACTAGTGAGAATAGTACAATTAAGAGGACCGGCTATAAAGTACAGAGAGTTCACCTTTGTATCTCTTCTTTTAAAGTCTAATTAAAGTTTACCTCCTTTATCTCTGGGTACACCTGAGCTAGATTACTGGGCATTCCCCAGTTGATCCTTTCCCAAGCAGCAGATATGGGAAATAGATGGATGTCTCTTCTGCCAAATGTGTCTAGTGAATGGAACTCTAGCTGGGAAATCCAAATAACAAAGTCTCTGTCACAAATGGGAGACCTTGGAGAATAACTTAAACCTTGTCAGCCTCAGGGGCTCACTTGGCACGAAAGATAAAATGGTGATGCACACATGTGGATACTTCTTTTTCTGGAGAAGTGCTTAGTAAATTTTCCGATGAGTGAAAGACTTTTGTTCCATTAAGCATCAGCAAGAATTCTACTTCTTATTTTGAAGGAAGAGTGGGAAGGTGTTGACGAGTGAGTAAACATTCACATTGGAACTTGGTCATTTTAATGGACACCCTTTGCAGGTGGTGGTGTTGGACAGCAGTCTAAGAGTTTAGATTTGCTGATTCACGTTACAACGGGGTAAGAATGTGCCCTAGTCAGGATTCACACTGCAAAACGTTATTCTGATTTGGATTTTAGATAAAACACGTTTATTTGTACTTTTTTGTAACTGTAAAGTTCTTCGTTAATGCACGCAAATGTAGCAATAATTGCATTTAGTAAGTCATCTCTTTTAAGTAGGAAGTAGAGTTTAATGTTGTTCTTCACTAAGCTTTAACAGTTATGATGCCCACCATGTTCTTTCCCTCTCCTTCCCACATTTCTCTCCTTACAACCTCGAAGAAGGGAAGACTGCGCTCCTTAGCACTGCAGCTTTGCTGGACTTCAGACGTTTCTAGCTATTAGTTATTTCCCCTCAGCTGACATTCTCCTTTTCTGTCTCCCTTTTTTTCTTATATGTGTGTGCTTTTGAATACGACTTGTGCTTGCATCGAACCCCAGCTCTTGCTTTCATGCTTGCTAGTGAGCGGGGAGCGGGAAGGGGAGCATGGCCGGTCTCCTGACGTGGAGCTGTCCTTCCCCGAATAGGCTCCTCACCCTAGAAGGCCTTCTGGGCATCACCTGTTCTCTCTTGAGGATCCAGCCTGTGTCCAGAAAGGCTGGGGATGGCCTCAGCCATGATAGTGGGGAGGGTGCTCAGAGTTAGTCCTGGGAGAGTTCGCCACAAGAGTGCACTCAGGCTTTTCTTATCTTCTAATTTGGTGTAAAAAAAAAAAAAAGTTGCAATTTTTCTCATTAGCTAGTAGATTTAATTATTGTGGTCCTTTAGTTTAAGACTGTCTTGGAAAAACTGTCTTTGACAAAGGAGCCCCAATACTGTAGTGTCTTTTTCAGCCTTCACTGGTTCTATTTTTGTCACAGGATGACCTATCTTCCGGAGGTATCATTTCTTGACACTGTCTTGTCCTTTCCTTCTTTCTGTTTTCACAAAATAGCATCTCAGACCAAATTGTCCAAGTTCTAGTTATAGAAAGGATGGGTTCCTAGCAGAGGCCATTATAAAAATGGTAATAATGATCAAAGACTAGTTGTATCCTGGGACAATCAGTTGGGTAAATGAAAAACAAAGGGGAAGTAACTTTGCAAGCATCTGGCCTTTGAAGGCTCCTCTGCCTTTGAAAGAATGAAGTGGGGGCATTTAAACATTTTGTTTGAATTTACTCTACTTCTGTTGACTAATGGAATACTTGGTGATTGATATCAGGCCTTTGTAACTTCAGGTCTCTGAATGTTTTATCTTCCAACATGTTTCTCAGTTCCATCTGATAGTTACAAAAGGTGTGCCCTCAACCCCGGCCCTCAAATAGGGTGCAGGTCACTGTGGGGGTATGTGGGTGGTTGGGTGTCAGTAGGTCTGGAGGGAGCTGGGGCAAGACTAGCAGTCTGGTTCCTCTTTCCTCCAACGATGTCGGCGGGCATCAGTCCAGATGAGATTTCTGAAAATTGGTAGTTTTTCCATCAGACTAAATTTCTGCCATAACATAGAACTGCCAATAATATGGTATTTTTTTCCTCTTATTCATTAAACAAACTTTAGCCATTAAAAGAATTCCTTTGAGTCCTACTCTATGCTAATCACGATGCTGATTACTGGGGCGGGGGGGTGAAGGTTTGTAAGGAATGAATCTTTCTCTGTAGGAACTTATGTACTTGGGGAAAAGAGTTACAAAAATACAATTAGTGAACAATCTAAGTCCTATATTATTAAGTGTCTCACAGACCGGCAGTGCCCTAAGAGCAACAGCTCCTGTGTTATTAAGGGTATGGACTGGTGCTCAGCTGACCTATCCACCTACAGTGAGAAGTTAAATTATCAATGAAATTAGGAAATATCGTCTTAGAAACTTGGCATATGGTATCCTATGGTATGGATTTTAAAACAGAGTTTCCAGTGTGTTCGGACAATATAGCCATGAGTTTTGTTTTGTTTTTAAAGATTTTATTTATTTGAGAGAGAGAGAATGAGAGATAGAGAGCACGAGAGGGAAGAGGGTCAGAGGGAGAAGCGGACTCCCTGCTGAACAGGGAGCCGGATGCAGGACTCGATCCCGGGACTCCAGGATCATGACCTGAGCCGAAGGCAGTCGCTCAACCAACTGAGCCACCCAGGCGCCCCATCCATGAGTTGTTTTAAGTACTATTTAGTTACAAGGGATTACTCCTCCTCCTCCTCCTCCTCTCCCCCTCCTCCTCCTCCTCCTCTTCCTTTTGCATTAATATGTATAACATGATTTATTTATTTCAAAAACAAATTCCAAAGCTGGCCCTCTTGAGCTAAAACAGAAACCAGTTTTATGAACTGGTCAGGGTAAATGGGTGGCAAAATCAGATACAACCGTTTCCTGAGGGCTAATTTCTTTAAGCTGTTATTTACAGTATGGTTGGATTTGTTCTCACATGTATATTTGTATGTGTTCTCTCGTGTGTAGGATGGTTCTGTGATGCCTTAGACCAAGGGTTGGCATACTGTGTCCTACAGGCCAAATCTAGCCTACTGCCAGTTTTTTGGATAGCTCAAAAGCTAAGAATGGTTTTTATGTTTTTATTTTTTGTTTTTAAAGATTTTATTTATTAGAGAGAAAGCGCAAGCGGGGAAGAGATCGATCCCAGGAGTCTGGGATCATGACCTGAGCCGAAGGCAGTCGCTTAACGGACTGAGACGCCCAGGCGCCCCAGTTTTTATGTTTTTAAATGGTTGAAAAAAATCTAAATAATAATAATATTTTGTGACACGTGAAATTCAAATTTCAGTGTCCATAAACAAAGTTTTACTGGCAGGAGCCTTGGGTATTTGTTAAACATCATCTGTGATTGGTTTCAAGCCACAGTGGCAGGGCTGAGAACAGACACCACAACGGACACTGTAGGGTTCACTAAGCCTAGATATTTACTGTCTGGTCCTTTATGGAAAAATTTTGCTGACCCCTGTCTTAGACCATTTTCGCATCAGCCTATGATAGTTGCTTTGGACTCAGTTTATATTGTTATTGCTTCTGTATTCATATTATAATTATTAATACCCAAGTACTATTTCATATTTTCTTTTACTTTCAGATGATGTATTTTCCAAACATTAGGCGATCAAAATCATAAGAAAAAAACATGATAATTAGGGATTTTCTCTTTCTCATAAATTTGCTTTCTATTAAAAAGCATTGTGATTTTTCCTTATTGTTTAATACCATCATCCTTGTAGGACTCTTGTGATTCTAATAAGCAAGTAATCCATCAATATGCTTTTTAAAATTATGTCAGTGAAAGACTGAAATTTTTACTCTCAATTTGCTATAATTAAAATTTATTTTCTTTTTCTGGGTCTTTTTTTGAGATTGATGTTTTACTGTGTGTATGGTTTGTTTCTCTGTATCTTCATGTGTAAGGTTATTTTTAGCCACAATTAAAAAGTTTCAATACAGACTGGAGCTTTATATAAGCCGACTTGATAACTACTCTAAGGCTGTGACATTGGCTCTGGAAATACATATTTAGGGCAAATAAAGACTAAATGCCATTTAAATTTTTGTATTTGAAGTTGACGTTTATGTTACAGATTAGACTTTTGCAGCTAGCGCTGAACCAGTTTGTCTAATGGTAAAACTATGCCACACATGGTTTCTCTTTATTGTTGTGTGGTTCATTTCCTGATTATCAATTATCTCCATTAGCAATGGGGAATTTTCTTAAACTTTATCGTAAGTTTACTTTGATGTTTTCTTTGATAGTTTACTACCATCAAAGTTTACTACTTTGAGCACAAGAACCGTTGATTAAGTAACCAAATAATAACCTGGTACATTTTGTTAGCACTGTTGTGTACTTTCTGTACCAGTACATTGTGTAATTACCAGAGTAAATTAAGAAGTATTGGGTAAGAAGTGTTTTATCATGTAAAAACACCTGCACAGTTTGACAGCTGTTTTTATATTTTTATATTTCATTAAAGGATATTGTTTTTACCTTCATGCTCGAGTTCTATAAAATGGATATTTAACAAGTTCCCTGTCTGGTATATAAGAAAAATGCAACTTTATCTTATACAAAAAATTAAAATAATAAACAATAAATAAATAAATAAACCTGTCCATAATATTAAAAATGTAAAGATAGCTTATAACCATAGCCATTTAATAACTCATAATATTGACATTTGTCTATACCTGACATGGTCCTGTTAAGAAATCATACCTCCAGCTGAGCTGTAATTAGGTGAATTTGTTTCCCAGTGCTAGGAAAACTTAACAGGAAGTGTAGCATGTCACTAGGGAAACCTCATGTAGCCTTCTATACTTACTTTATATGTTGTAAACTGG